ATAAGTCATTTATACTCACTCACATATACATCAACATCTATTCATATAACATATACAATAACCCATATCACACATATATCATATCATGCAATTCATATACATATATCACATTGTGAACTAATGATGTCACCACAGCTCATATAAATGCACCGAAGTGCCACGTGCCACGTAGAATTGCACCGTAGTAACGCGTAGAAATGCACCGAAGTGCCATATAAGGTTGTCCCTAAGGACCTCGTAGAAAATTCCTTAAGAATCATATACGTATGCCAAAGATCAAGTATGTGTCTCAAAAGACCTCACACATGTTCCAAAGAATACATACATGTCCCGAAGGACCGTGTAGACCCTCGACTCTTGGCATGCCAACTATACCCCTAGCTCTCATGATACATAACATGGGCATTATTATCATGTCATTTCATATTCACACATTCCTAACACTTATCTCTTATCGTATATATGATCTCTTATAATCATGTAATCACATAGCTCGTGTCATTTCTTGTGAAATTATACATATCATGTAAGACATATCAGACATGTACACACAAATCACTTCCATATAAATCACATGATTTATTATCTCGTAAATCATATCACATTTTCATAGTTTCTATCAACTTTTCATGTTATTTCACATTTCTTGTATCCTATTCTTATGACTTCTCATAGATATATATATTATTTATAAACTTGCATTCCCATGATTTATAATCTTCTCTTTAATCAAATATCTCATATTTAGTAACATATATCATATAGGTATATACTAACTTATATCATTTCCTATAGCTTATACTTTCTTTTCTTATATTCACCTAAATCATGTAACCTATGTCATACTTATAAACACATATCACTTCTATTATTCCTCTTCTATATTAATATAATCTCTTTACTTAGTTCAGTTCCACCTAGCTTCTATCATTTTTCTCATATGCCTTCACAGATATTTACCATCTACCTCATACCTTAGTTTCATTTAAGCCCATGAAATTTTTACCATATAACTTATTTTACTTATTCATATAATCACTTATGTCTATTCATCCTAACTTAATTATTATTCTCATAGAGTTTTACAACCTTTCTCATGTACTCACTTATACCATATAGTATAATTTATACTTGGTCCTCTTATGCTCACATATTCATTTCCTTCCTTATTTCTTTCTCGCATAACTTATCACATATGCAAGTATTCTAATAAATTATCATCAAAAGTTCCTAATATATATATTATTCTCGTATTATTCTATAGGTCAATGCTATTTAAATTATCCCACTTTTCCTTTCATCCCTTAAGTTGATTATACCAATTCTCTTATATCTAAATCCAGTAATTTATATCATGTTCCATGTCTTATGCCACATTCTCTTGTTATCACCTAAGTAATTTGTATTTTACATAGTTCATGATCCTATAACTTATATGCCCGTTTCATATAGCTTGTATAACGTTTTTCCTATAATACCTAAATCATTGCCATATAACACAAATCATATAAATTCATACCACATATCATGTAATACAAACAAAACATATTCACGAAATATCAAGCATAATTATACTTCTAATCATATAATCATATATTCAACATATTGGAAACAGACTTGTCGCAAGTCCAATTTTCCATATACAATACGCATATTCTAATAATACGCACTCACCTTGGCCTTACTAAGTTCCAATCCAGTTTTATAATTTCCTCTCTTGCGATCGAATCATAACTTGATAATCGTTCCGGGACTTGTTCGTGCTCGCTATCTATATAATCATTCATTGATACATATTAGAATCCAATTGATATACACTAATCTATCATTTCTTAGACCAAAAGAAATGTCTATTTCAATTTCCCCTTGAAGTGCATCGATGCATTCTACAGTGCATCGATGCATTCTTTAACATGTGCATCGATGCACTACCCATGCATCGATACACAAATTACCTTCGATGTTTTCATTTTAAAGGGATGCATCGATGCACTCCTTATGCATCGATGCACCAATTGCATTCGATGTTTCTTCTTTAAAGAGTGCATCGATGCACATTCACATTGAATGTGCATCGATAAACCTTGCCCAGAATTTGCATTTTAAGCCCGAAAATCTATTTAATTCAACTCAAATGCTTCATATTTCATCCCCTTTCAAATTCCTAACTTATATATACATGTTTAAACTCATTTATATTCATTTACCTCTTATTAAACCTTAATATCCTCTCATCTTTATTAACTTCAAGAATCAAACCATATTTTCAACATGTTTTAAAACTCATTTTATCACTTCATATCTCTCAATTTAACCCTTGACAAGTCAAATTCAACTTCAAAATCTATTAACTCCTTCTATTTCACTAATTCACTTAAAAACTCTTCATATTTGATCCTTCATAACTCATCCATTTTGAAGTTTCAACATACTTTAATCTCTAAATAATCTTTCTTAGCACCCCAAGAATCAAAACTAAGCTTAAAACTCAAGAATTAACCAACTGAAATTAAACTTACCTTTTGCCATGGAGCTTACGAGAAGAGAGGATGAAGGAGATAACCCAAGCTCCAGACTTTTATTTTCTTCTCACCCTTTCCTCGTGTTTTATAACCTTAAAAAGAAAGATAAAAATCTTTCTGGTCAAATGACCATTTTACCCTTTTATTTCCTTTAATAATTACTAAATAACCTTCATCATATATTTCCAATAATCATTAAACTATTTAATTCTTCTACTTTAGTCACCAAATTCTAAAACTTTACAATTTAGTCACTAACCCGGTATTACGGATGTTACAGGTCGGGCCGGGTTCGGGTTTAGGGTGAAAAAACCGGACCCGACCTGAAACAAATATATAATTTTACCTTATACATTTAGGAATAATTACAATAATACCCCTATATATATAATTTTTTTCAATTAAGTCAATGTTTTTATTGACTAAAAATAATTTTTTTATTATTTCGTGTCGGGTCGGGTCGGGTTTCTAATTTATATATTGAATAAAAATAGTTTTTGGTATATTTTTTGGTAACTAATTAACATACTCCGATTGGAATGTATCGAAATATTGCTCTATCTTTTGGTAACTTATTAACATATTTTGATTGCGATGATTTTAACTTATGATGTTTATTAGCATGATTTTTATAATTTATTGAAATGAATAATCAATCAATAAAATGAAAATTTAATATTTTTTTAATTTTTTATAATATATTACTAGATGTAAGTTGTAAAACAAACTAAAATAAAGCAAAAAAACAAGAAGATCAATTCTGTCATTTTACATTATTAAAATTAAAATTCATCTTACATGTATACGAACCAAACAGAATATGAAATTGGATTCCAATTACATTTCCTGTAAACCAAACAGAATATGGAATTGGATTCCAATTCATGACAGATTCTAATTCCCTCATAAACATTACAGCGAACCAAACGCCACCTTAAAGATATTTGCCGGAAAGTGAGCAGAGCCGTCGTGGCATCATTTGTCGCCGTTGTGTTCCTCATGTTGTTGGTTTTGCTGTCTGGTTTTATATTCCTGAAAATGGCTAAAAAATAGAAAGAAAAAAAAATTAAATATCGACATTAAGTGTCTTAGTTTTTGTGTTCTATTTGAGACTTTCTTTTTAAGTATTTTTCATAATAATCATTAAAATTATCATTACATTGTAATTTTATTGTACTTAAATCGCAATTAATTGAAAAATAATTTAAGCTGTTCTGAATTCTTATGTTCTAGATTAATGGGATAATACTATGTTGGGTACATGTATTTTAATAAAAATTTAATATGATACTTGTGTTTTCAAATTGTTTAATGCAGTACATGTTTTTTTAAACTAAATGTCCAATATGATATATATGCTTTGATAAAATTGTCTAATATAATTATTTAAAAAATGAATAATATAATATCTGTACTTTTAAAATATTTAATAGAATACATATATTTTATCAAAATGTCCAATATGATACTTAAATTATCATTTTATATATTGTTATATTACATGGATTAACATTAATACAATTGGTAAATGTCGTACCTAGATTATCATTCAGTGTATTATCCTGATCATTGAGTTAACATTATTAATAAATGTAAAATTAATCGTAAAAAATTACACGTGTTATCAAAATATAGGCTGCACATCAATATTTAAAAAATACATCTATCATATTATATATTTTTATAAAAAACACATTGTATTAGATATTTTATCAAGTTATATGTAACAAATATGACATTATCTTAATAATAATTTAAAATAATTTACATTTAGTATATTAGTGATGTATAATTCTATATACTATCAATGAATAAAACAATAATGCATATTTGGATAAATTGTTTATTTAGTACCTAAACTTTAATTTTTTTTAAATCATTCATAACATTTAGTTTTTATTTCGTTTTGGTATATCGTGTTAAAATTTTAAATGGGTGATTTACTCGTGGAACCTTTTTTATGCATAAATTACATCAGTTATCACTCAACTATCTTCTCACTCATATTATAGTCATTAAAATTTATTTTTTTAATTTAATTACTTAACTTTCAAATTACTTCTAATTTAATCACTCTATTTTTTTATTATTATTAATATAATAATAATAAAAAATATCATGTCACAAAAATTATTAATAAAATAAATTAGAGTATTAAAATAGAAGCAATTTGAAAGTTGGGTAATTAAATTGAATTTTTTTAACTTTAGTACCAAAATAAGAGTGAAAAAATAGTTGAGTGATGAATGATGTAATTTACTCATAAAAATGCAATTAAGTTTTTAAGATCGATGTGCTAAAATGAAACAAAAACTAAATATTATATATGATTTTGAAAAGTTGAAAGTTTAAGTACTAAAACGGATTAAAATTAATAGTTTAGGTATTAAATGTATAATTTACCCTTTATTTTATTTTCCTAACATTCACGATGTTATTTCGGTCTTTTGCTAAATCAGTAAAGTAAACATCTAACTGCCGAATATTTAGAGAATTTGATCAACGATTGTAATGTTAAATCCCCAAAGCAAAAGGTGAAGTTTCCCGGGAAAATCAGAAATTAGGGTTTAAAGATTCAATTACTTGGATCGTAAAATGTCTCAGACTGGGAAATTGATGCCGAATCTCGATCAACAGAGCACGAAGATGCTCAATCTCACTGTTCTCCAAAGGATTGATGTTTTCATAGAAGAGATCCTGATCACTGCTGCTCACGTCACTTTCTACGAATTCAACATCGATAGCAGTCAATGGGTTCGCTTTCTCACAAATCTGTTCATAAATTTTTTGAATCTTTATTTTTTTGTTCTTGATTTGGTTTAAAGTTTAGATCGTTAAAGTATTTTAAGTTTGAGTTTTTATTTTTTATTTTTTTAGAGTCGAAAAGATGTTGAAGGATCTCTCTTTGTTGTTAAGAGGTAAAATAAGTTAATAATTTTTGGCTTTCTATTTCTAGCATTAACGTTTTGAGAACTTAGAAGCAATTAATTAACTTAGGCAATTGATTTAGCTCATTGAAATGATTGATGACTTTCCTTGGTTTTAAGGAGTACTCAACCTCGGTTCCGGTTCATTGTAATGAATCGACGAAACACAGGTAGATGTTCTTAACTTTAATGAAAGAGTGCTCACTTTTTTCTCTCCTTTTGCCTGATTTGGTATTAAAGTTGTTTTTAACAAACAGATAATTTAGTGGAGAATCTATTGGGAGATTTTGAGTACGAGGTTCAAGGTCCGTACTTGCTGTATCGAAATGCAGCACAAGAAGTTAATGGAATTTGGTTCTATAATCCCCGTGAATGTGAGGAAGTTGCAAGCCTGTTTAGTAGGTATGATATCTTGTTTTTGTCCATTTATCTAACTTCCAAATATCAACTTTGAAGTTTGAACATGAACATGATCATCCCAAGTGAATTTGAACATGGAGCTTCAGATCTTTTATATCTTATGTTTGTACTTATTTCACACAGTTGTTTTGCCCCGAGAGGAAGGGTTCAGTGGTTGAAAGCCTTCCTTTGAGATGTAGTTTCGATTTAACTACAATCTTATGGTTATTGAAGTTTTAAGTATTCATAAATGTGCCAACAAGATTCTAGATAAGTGGGGTCAATGCACTTTAATCTGTCGAACAGAGAATGTGTTTTTTAGCTGTACAACTATCAAGTGGTAAATTTTTGAATGATATGCAATATGATATGTTCATGTGACTTGACAGTTGATCACAATAAATGAAACAAAATTTTCCTTGCATTATACCTACCTTTAAACTTCTGTAGTTTAGGAAAACCATGAAGATGCTCAATAAGATATACACAAGTGTGTTTTTTGAGATATTGTTTCGATAAGAGAAGTACTTGGTCTGTTTCTTTTTGTGACTTTAAATACCAACATTTTATTTGTTGTCTTCTTCACAGAATACTTAATGCATACTCAAAAGTTCCTACAAAGCCAAAAACATCTTCAAGTGCAAGGTAATTACTTTGATGGTGCATCTGTAACAAAGCCTTAGGACGTATTAACTGTTAAATTTCCCCATGCAGATTGCGGGGTGTTTCTAGTTGTTTAGCCTGTTGTATTTAATGCTTTTGGTTCATTATGCCATTTTGAACAAAAAAACGTCTTGCCAATTGTCTGCGATGCGTGTGTAGAGGGTCCTTTTGGTGTGAGTGAGGCAGCATTGCAAACAAGTGAAGGATTGAGGCAAAAGTGGATGAGAGTTGGACTAGAGTGGATTGTGGGGTTCCATATTTTGTGGCAGTTCAAGAAAATAGGTGAAAGTGAAGGGAAAATGTAGGAACTGTAAAATTGGAACTGGTAATATATGCTGGGAGTAGATGAGTGAGGCAGGAGCTTTATGTGCAAATTTTATTCTTATAAGAATTTCCCTAAACTCCCATTTAATAGGTTATAAAGTTCATCTAATTCGGTAAACACTTTCATGATCTATTATGAGTCATATTGGTAAATTTATAACAATGATTGTCAAGAATTTGATGATGTTGATATTGATTCTTGGAAGTCCACCGTACTTTTACTAGACTATCTTGCTCCACCTGATAGTATCTTCCTATTGTGTTCAAAGTGTCCTAAGTTTTTTTTTTATTGTGTAGTGAATTTGAGGAACTAGAAGCAGTTCCTAGCATGTCCGTAATCGAAGGCCCCTTGGAGCCACCAGCAACTGCCTCTCCTGCTATTGATGCTCCTCAAGATTCATCATTTGTTAACTTCTTTAGTGTATGATGGCTGTGACGCTTACAATTTTTATTTTCAGGGCCTGATATTTTTCTGGTGTCTCTGATCTCAAGGTTATTTTGTTTTAAAACTTTTACTATTTCAGGCTGCTATGAATCTTGGAAGTAATGCTCCAAATAGTACAAAACCAGCACAGCCTTACCATTCTATCTTGACCACCCCTCTTTCTTCTCATGCACCATCTGCCATCTCGACTCCCGCACTTTCTCTATCAGTGTCATCCCTTCCTCTTTCTGCTCAACCTTCGCTTGATTCAGTAGGTAGTGGCAACCGGGTGGCTAATCTTGTAAAGCCTTCTTCATTTTTTGTACCCCCTTCCTCTTCCTCCTTGATGATGCCACCTCCCACTTCATCAAATCCAATCATTTCTGCCCTTCATCCACCCGTCATTCCACAACGTCCTTATGGCACTCCAATGCTTCAACCCTTTCCACCACCTACTCCACCGGCATCTCTCACTCCTGGTGCACCATCTTCTTTGCAGAATGAATCTCTGATTAGCAGGGATAAAGTCCGTGATGCACTATTAATGCTTGTTCAGGTATTTATATATTTTCATCAATTTTTCACTTGTAATGTTAATTGATATCGGCTCATTTGAGCTCGAGTGTAATTGCCAGTTAACATTTGGCCAAAAGATAATTATAGAAGATCAATCAATGATGCACAATTTGCAATTCTTAATCATGATGAAGGCTTCTAATTTGCTTCTGATTATTGACTCTTTGTTTTATTTTTATGCTAGGATGATCAATTCATTGACATGTTCTATCAGGCATTGCAGAAGGTGCATCACATGTGAGCACCGTAGAGTCGATCCTCAAGAAACTTCATTTTTATGTTCAATGTGCACCGTATTCTTTTTATTTTCTTTGATTTGCTATCTAAACTTTGACATTTGATTTGATCTACATACCAATTGTTTACCGAGGACAAGGTGTTGAGGCATAAAAAAGAATGTGAATCATGTTTGCTGACACGGTAAAAAAGGCTGCTCACAGGCATCGACAGACCTAAGTTATAGTGTTGAGAGAAAAAAGAGTAAGAATCGGAGTCTCTTAAACCCGAGAGCTTTCTCCTCCTATCACCATTCTGTCAGCATCTTTAAGTCTCACCTTCAGCAGGGAGAGATCCGTTGTCATTGGTATTTGGAGTTTGCTTGTTTGTTTTTTCCACTTCCTGAGATGTGCATCATATTAGGGCGGCCGATTGCGGCAGCCGTAATCACTTCGGTTTTTTTTTGATCAAGTCAGTTATAGAGGACCTGATTCCTAATTCACCACAGTACAAGTTGGAGGTGCAATGGACATTGAAACAGAGTTCGAGGATCAATTTGGTGTTTGGAGGTGCAATGGACTTTGGAAACTTATAGGTTGGTTGGTTTTAACATATTTATATCTTTTTATCTGAACTGTAAATTGTATGAATATATTTAACTTTTTTTTATTCTCTCTTTAAAGGCATAACATGCATGATGTAAGCTCCTTAGATGTGTAGGATTATTCTACCATTTGTAAACTATGCTATGCTTTGCTGCAATAACTTTGTCAATCAGACACTTGAGGAATGTAGCCTTTGTTAAATTACTATGTGACACATTAGATTCATAAACTATCATGACACACAAGATAACAATGGTGTCACGCCAGCCAAAATATTGTAAAATCTGATCCGTGATTGAATCGATCAAAATTAATCATCGGTTTAATCAATTCGAGTTGCTAGTCTAGTGAACCATTGATTTGAGTTGTTAATCGAGTTGAATCATCATTTTTAGTGTTTAAAATGGTATATTTTTCACATAAACTCTTTTGATTGATGGATAAAATACACAAATGATCTCTTGATTATAGGGTTTTGCTTAAGTAAGTTTCTTCGATTATTAAAGATTATAAAATAATCATTCAATTGTAGATTGTTATTTTGTTGAGTTTTTCAGATATTAAAAGTTATAAAATGATCAATATTTTAGTAATACAATTTCCAAAAAAAAACATTTTTATCTAATTTTAATCAATATACGAATTTATCAATCAATCTAAAACCTCGACCAATAATTTCTCAAATTTGCCACCAAAATTCACAATGCAATAAAGGAGAAAAGCACTAAATCTTCATTTATTTTATAAATAAAGCAAAAACCCAGAATTTTTAAACACTTAAAAGGCATCCCATTATCCTTACTGCTCTTGGGCGTTCTTTCTTTTGGGGGCGGCGACTAATCGTCGAGCATCTTTCGAAGTCGGTCTTTGACGAATTGGCTACGGGCTCTGGCACGTTCTTGTTGAGGACCAATATTGACAAAGGAAAGGTAAGCTCCGGCGGTTATAAATGAAGCTCCGGTGAGGCAGAAACCGATTGTCAGCGCTATTTGCTTCGCCGTCGGCGGATATGACCAAAGCACCATTTTTTTGTTTGGTTTTTGTTTTCTCTGTCGCTCACGGCTTGGCTTGGCTTTTTGGCGCTTTCATTTTGTTAGCTATTGAGCCAATGAATCAGTGCCACGTTTTTTTTTACTCGTGTCATCAAATAAATTGTGGTTTAATAGACAAAATTCCTCCTTAATTATACCTGATTTTCATATTGGTCCTTACTATTATTTTTCAAAAGCGACCCTAAAATTTTAATCTATCAACATTTTTTGCCTTAGTTTCAAAATACCATAACTCAAGTATCGTGTCTTGTATATGGTTTCTTAAAATTTCTTTTGCACCTTGTCTTAGAGTATTGAGAGATATAATTGAATATTAGCTATGCAAGTAAAGTGTATTTGAGTTATTGAGTTTGAGAGAATAGTATATTTTGTAATAACTTTTTCATAGTGATTTCTTTGATTATTTGATAACAATCATATTCTTTTAAGGGTAAAGTATATAAATGATCCCCGATCATAAAATATTACTTTATTGAGTTCTCCAACTATTAAAAGTTATAAAATAGTCTCTCGACTATTAGATGTTGCTTTTTTAAGTCCCTGACTATTAAAAGCTACAAAATGATCACCTCCACTATTCATTGTGTTCCAAACTTCCGTTAAAAATGATGACAATTTGGGTTGGACGATAACATGCTGATTGATATATGATATAATCTGATCTAAAATTCTCAAAAGACTATCATATCACAATCAGTAAGTTAACGTCCAACTTAAAATTGATATCAATTTTTAATTGAAAAAAGGATGAGTTTAGAACACAATGAATAGTTGGGTTTGTAACTTTTAATAGTCGAGAGACTCAACAAAACAACATTTTATAGCTGTCATAAAGTTTTTATACGAACAAATAAGTTTTCGATGAAAACCCTAAATTATAACTTATTTGGGAACAAAATGAAGAACGTAAGCCAAAACTAAAAGAAATAACATGTAAAAAGTGACCAACATAAAATAAAATGAAATTTGCATGTTGAATTCGAAATAAATAAATAAAGAGGAAGATCATGTGACCAAGTTTCAAAATCATGGCAAACCTAGGGGGATTGTATGGTCATTAACCCTAAACTTTATATCTAACATAATTTATTAATCTAAAAACCTAAACTAAAAAAAAAAACCTCTCTCCTCTTCCTCTCATCATGCGACCGACCAACCCCTTAGAGACTAAACGCTTCCAACTCTGGCCACCACGCTCCTACTGGCGACCGAGGGAAGTCCAAGTAAGCTCGAACGGAACCCAAACACACTAAAAACCCTTATTTCCTCTCTTTTCTAAATACTGAATTTTTTGCTTCAAATCAAAATGTTTGTATGAAAAAAAAAAAACCTTTTGAAAAATATTGTGTTGTATTGCTTGAGTTCCAATAAAATGAAAAAGATGATTGTACTACAATCTTTTTTTTTTTAGAGAAACCGAAAAGGAGCCCCTAACATTTTGATTTTTCTGGGATTTTTATATCCCTCTATTACATGCAAAGAAAGAAAGAAAAAATTATATATTGATTTGTTGATTTTGTGTTGATTTTTGCTGATTTGGTTGGTTGACGAGAAGAGGAAAACCATATTCTGTGGCAGTTGATGGTCAGGGTATGGGCTATTGTTGCTGGCAGTATGGTTGGGTGGACTGGAGTAAGGATGATAGGGTTTTGGTGAAAAAATGGTGATTACAATAGTCAACATACCATTTTGTAACTTTTAATAGTCAGATAATTAGGGATGGCAACAGGTCGAGTTTTTAGTCAATCCGACCAAAAAATATACACATTCCACCTGAACCCGACCCAACTCAGTATAAATTAAATATTTAATTAAAAATAATATATTTTTTAAGGAAATTATATTATTATCCTCACATCGGGTCAGAGTTTTTTCACTCTCCACTTGAATCCGACCTGAACCCGATTTTTTTTAAATCCAACCCGATCAGGTCAGAACGAATCGAAACCCGTCGGATACGGATAAGATTGTCACTCTTACAGATAACTAAATAAAATAACACCCTATAATTAGGGATCATTTATATACTTTACCTTATTTTTAATTAGAGAGTTAATACCACATGCTCTTTTACTATTGTTTCCATTTTATTTTTACGCTTCTCATTAAGGAAAATCTCAAAAGAGAATTGTTCAACTCTTCTTTTCAACAGATTCTAACTTTGATTGAAAAATTATCAATGTTTTCACAATTTCAAAATCAAATGTTATCCTATTTCATCATAAAAACACACATTTAGAAAAATATTAAAAGTTATGGTACAAGTTTTTTAATTTTTATATTAGTTTTTTTAAAAAATAAATTCTTAGAATTTTTTGACATTTTCTTTATATTTTTTTATTGGATTTTGCTTTTATTCGTAACCAAATATAAAATATTGCTTTCGTCTTTGCGTACATGGTTACTAGAAAATATATGGAATCACTAGCTCCGTTCTTTATAATTGTGGTGATTACAAAGTAGTATTTCTTCGTAATATTTCTTACTAATTGATAATGCACTCACTTAATTGTTTGAATTGAGGATCTCAAATATTACTTCAATAAATTTAATTAATTTATATATATATATATATATATATATATATATATTTAATTTAAATTTTGGATAAATTAGACATTGGTGTCGACGGTCTTCCCTCTCAAGCGTTTTGTGTCCACAACTGGGAAAATGCATGCATCAAAATTCAAAACAATTCAAACTTTGCGGGAAAGTATCACGTGCGACAACCTTAATATACGGTTAAAAAATATGCTATTAATTTTATTATCATTTTTAATAAAATCGGTAAAAATTTATCGGAAACATTATTATTTCTACCGGTTTTGTTATTATTAGACGCTTTACCGGTTTTGTTAATATATCCGGTAAAAAGTTACCTAAAATATTATTTTTTTCTACCGGTTTTAATATTATTGGACACTTTATCGGAAATGTTAAAAAACATTAATGGTTTAAGTAGAAATAATAATGTTTTAGGTAATTTTTTATTAATTTTTTTAAAAATAATAAAATCGATAACGTCTTTTTCTTAATCGTATATTAAAATTTGTATACGGTAGTACTTCCCAACTTTGCACGTCAGGTTTCTTTTCTTCTTTGTCCAATATCAAGAGTTCTTCACACAATAATAAATGCGTTTTCTGGTACCACTTGTACCCGAATTTTATCCAACATATTTTTGTCATAACCGTCTTTTGGTTGGATTCCAAATCGAGCTTCGACTTGAAGTGATTGGGTTAGGAGTCACCACCGATCATTTATTTGAAAACAAATGGGTTAATCGGATACCCTATTTCTTACATGGTCTACGTCTTTCCAAAGATATGCCGGATTCGGGAGTCAGTTACAGTCAAGGAAGGGTTAGCACCCTTGAGCTGCCCTTTCGGTATTACGTAATTGTCAGTTGTCTTTAATTAAGAAAATTGAAAATTTAACTTATAAGGTAAAATAACGATCCGAATTGCTTACATTTGATTGATTGAAAACGTACCCTTTAAAAGTCAAACGACGTATTAGATGAAAAAGAAATAATTAAACTGGTTAAATTAAACCAAGTAATAAGAAAGAGATAATAAGTAAATAAATAATCTAAAAATAGGAAATAAAACACCAAGTGGAAAATAAAATTAGAGAGTTAACAAACAAAATAGTACAAGTAAACAAAAGAAAAATAATAATAGTAAGTAAAATAGATACATTATACAAAACGAAAACCCAACAAATTTAAAAAGAAATAAAAAACAGTAATTAAATAAAAAATAAAAAAATAATGATAATAAAATATAAGTACATATTAGAAAAGAAATAAAAGAAAATAAGATACAAAAAATATATAGATATATATATAAAAGATAAAACGAACTAAAGAAGAAAAAAAATTAAAAAAATATGCATATATATTAATGTAAGATAAAATAAATTAATTAGATAAAACTAAAAAAAGCATAACATATGTATATACATAGATAATAATAAGATACCACTTAAAAAAGTAAGAAATAATAAAAAATAATGATAATAAAATATAAAGGGGTCAGATTGGATGAAAA